TCAGGCCGTATGTAATTAGAACGGCCATCCGGGCCCTAGAAACCACTGTTACCAGAAGGGCCACTGCCAAGATTCTAGCCCTTCAGCGGGTCCATTATCGTCACTCCGGGAAACTGAAGACCCGGAGGAGAGGGACGTGGATCATGATGCAATAATTGCTGCAGCAACAATGGCATCAGAGGGGGGAAATGAAGCAGGAACCGCCGCCATTTTAGGAAGACTCCCCATTTCAGGTATCAGCTTACCTGCCTGAATGTACATGTGACCTCATCCGACCTCTGTAACCCCGCCCACTATTTTCGTGCCAAAAAGCAGGCCCGACCTCCGACCCTATAAAGCTGACCCAAGCCCTTTGTTCGGGGCCCAGAATTTGGAGACTGCCTCCTCCAGGACCGCATGCGTTAATAAAGGTCTCCTTTCGCCTCCTTCGGTGTACGGCCTGAGTCTTTTCCACTACAGTAGCACAGAGGCAGAGAACCTGCCCTATGGCCAGAACTTCAGGGGTTCTCAGGTGCTGAGGGAAGGATGGGTGTGTGGGCAAGACAAAAGCAGTGGGAGATGGATCTAGAAAGACAGAGGGTCCTGGGTCACAGACTCAGTGAGCAGAGCTGAGGAGTTTGAATTTTACTTATCCAGAAAGCTATGGGGGACCTTGAAGGATGTTTAAGTAATATATTGTGAGATTTACACCATACCAGACATGAATGAGGGTGTGGACCTGGAGCCTGGCAGGAGGAGGGGAGGGAAGGCGGACTGCAGACAGAATGAAGGAATAACACAGGAAGATGCAGAGCACCAGGTGACCGTGGTGAGGCTAAAAGCCTGACCATCAGTCAGACCGGAAGTGCCACCTCCCAGCTATGTTATCAGGGCAGGTGTTAGGGTTTGGCCATACAGCTGTGAAAGAATTCACAACTAAAAGAAGAGACGCAGAGAGGAAATTTATTTACTTCCTCCACCCGCCACCCAGGGAAAGGGCCAGGGCATTGCTAATCAGCGCAAGGGCATGAAACAAAGGGAGCTTCCCTTTTTAAGCAGGGGCTGTTGCTAAGCAACAAGGAGGGAAGGGTGGGATGTCTTGAAGTTGAACAGATACCAGGGGCTGTCTTGAAAAGTTACCCTTTGGTTGCTTTCCAGGAGACAGCCCAACAGGTGTCCTAGGGAGGTGTCTTATCAGTATTGTTTCCAGGCCTGTAAAACATGCTCAGAGCAAAAGTGATGAAGAGGTCAAAGGAGGCTTGTTTGAGGGGAGGGGGGAAGGGAACTTCCTACTAACTCCTTGGTGGGAATTATCCCTGAGCTGTGAAAACAGCAGGAGGAGGGGATGCAATAATGTAGCCTTGGGAGTAGCTTATTTTGTCTGCAGTTTGAACAGAGGGGCTGTTTGAATTAGAGGAGCCAGCAATCTTGGGGTTAAATTATCAGGTGCTTCTTATAAATTGTGGAAGGCCACCGCAAGGAAAAAGAGAGGCCTTTTTCATGCCCTTACAGCAGGTTTCCTCACTTCTATGATCATCTAAAAAACAGGCTGAGTAACAGCTAATTTACAGGGACATCTATGGAGTGAAAACGCTAGTTCACAGCAGGCATTCAAAAAACAGTAATTAAAAATACTATTTATTTCTAAATATTCCATTGAGAATCATTTACCAAGATAAAAAAATTTAGCAGGAAGAACAGGTCTGTGGAGGAAAGACTGAGTTCAATTTTAGACATACTGAATGTAAGGTACATACGAGATAACCAGGTAAGAAAATTGAATAAAAACCTGGCTATCTGGGGTTTGGGAATTCAGTGAAGCCAAGGGGTTGAGTGAAGCTACTTGGGTTAAGAGTGAGAAAAGGAGCAGAGTGTCAAGGGTGGCGTGTGGGAGACCCCAACGTCACAGGGCTCAGCAGGGAAGAGTGAGCATGTGTCAAAGCAGAGAAAACCAGAGATAGGAGGGGGAAGATGAGAGAACACGATGGCAAGAACTTCAAGACAGAAAGCTTCAAGAAGAGGTGTGAGGTCAATGTTATAAATATCACAGGTGTATTTTCAAATGCTGCAGAATGACCAAGGAACCAGAGAGCAGTAGGTGTGCAGTGGGCACGGCAGCAGAGAGGCAGTTTTCTCTGGACTGGTGGGTGGGAAGCCATCTTCACACAAGTTAAGGAGAGAGTGGGCAGACATCATAACACGTGTGCCATTGGAATTCCAGAAGACGAGAAGGACACTGACAAAGAAAAAGTATCTGATAGCATAGTGACTACAAATTTCCCAAATTCGGTGCTCCAAAATAAACAAAGCAAGAACTAAAAGTAGAAAGAGACAAATCCACAATCGTATCTGGAGACTGCAACATTTCTCTCCCCATTACTGACAGAACAAGGAGAGAAAAACAAGAAGGGATACAGAAGGCCTGAGCAACGCCACCGGCCAGCTTCACCTAACCGACATTTATAGAACACACCACCTGAAAGCAGCACAATGCATATTATTTTCAAATGCACATAGAACATTTACCAAGATAGACTATATTCTAGGATATAAATCAAATGTGAAAGAATTGAAATCATACAAAGTATTTTTTCTGAACATTAAGGAATTATACTAGAAGCCAATAACAGAAAGGTGTCTGAGAAATCCTTAATATCTGTAAATTAAATCATATTTCTAAATAACCATGGGTCAAAGAGGAAGTCTGAAGGGATAGTATAAGATATTTTAAACTGAAAGAAAATACAACCTATCAAAATTTGTAGGATACAGCCAAAGCAGTAGAGGGAAATTTATAGCAGTAAATTTTTATATTAAAAAGAAGAAAGTTCTAAATCAATACACTAAGCTTCTACTTTGATTAGCAAAAAAAAAAAAAGCAAATTACAACACAAAGCAATCAGAAAGAAGAAAATAATTAAGAGCACACACAATGAAATTCAAAACAGAGAAAACAACAGTAAGAAATTAATAAAACCAAAATCTAGTTCTTTGAAAAAATCAATGAGATTGATAATTCTCTAGTTAATCTGGTCAGGATAAAAAGAGATGATACAAATGACCAGTCTCAGGGAACAAAGAGGGAGTATCACTATAGCCCTTACAAACTTTAAAAAGTAACAAGGGAACACCATGAACAACTCTAAAAGAATCCACTGGACTTGACAGTAAGGAGATTATACTTATCTCAATGAGAATGTTTCAGTATGGGCCAGGATGGACTAAAGAAGGAATGCAAGGAGCATGTGTAGGAGCAGAGTGCAGACAACTCTTTCCACAGGACAACTCTTTCCACAGGATTGTATGAAAGAACAAAGAGTTGTAAGGTAGTAACTACAGGTAAGAAGGGCAGCCTTTTGGAGGAGGAACCATGCCTACCTTTGAGGGCTGAGGGAAAGGTCCAGGGAGAGAAGTCAGGAGAGGGAGGCACCCTGTCCTAGAGGCAGCGGGAGGGAAAGGACCAGCTGCAAAGCAGAATGGCTTAGTTTGCAGAAGACAGCCACTCTCTTTGGGACCAGGTGGGGATACAGTAAGGACAGGCTGGAGTACCGACTGGGATTGGTATCTAAATCAGACTTATCACTTAAGAGTTTCATAGTTCTTTACCAAACAGAAACTGTCAGGAACTAAGATTCTACACTGAAACACTGCCATTAGATAGCTTGCTTAAGTCATGTGAACTGCAGAAGAGCTGAGAAAGGCTAGACTTATAATATTCTAGTGCACGAGCCTGCAAACTATTCCTGTAAAGAACCAGGGAGTAAATATTTTAGGCTGTGTGGGCCAAGAGGCAAAACTGAAGATATTATATAGATAGTGGAGAGAAACTTCTGATCCTAGCCTGGCCCTAGCTGCCTGGGGTAAGAAACACACTCAGGACACAAAGTCCTGGGAACCTACAGAAACACACTCAGGACAGAAAGTTCCTGGCCTGATGAGAAGGGTCCTGGTGGGCCAGGCCAGCCTGGGGTGGGGGTAGGGTAGCCAGGCCAATTTCACTTTGTGCCCCAGGGACCCCCAGATCCTTATATGCCCTTCTCTCCTCCCCAGAGCGCAGAGGTCTCAATTTGGGCAGCCTGCTGGAGAGTAAGCAACTCCTGAATTGCCAACTGAAATTCCATGACTGGTACCTAGTTGTAACCAACAATCGCCAATGTGTCAGTGGCCACCAGTCCAGCCCGGGCAGCATCGCTGGGAGTGGAGGTGGAAATAGCGAGGAAGACGGACACCCCACACTGGTCCCCAGGACTCGCCTCGCCGGCCTCCCCATCGGTGCCTGGGCCTCACAAACACTTGGTGAGCTGGATCTGGCCCTTGTTTTCATGTCTCTAAAAACCTTAAAGATGAGCCTGAAGGGCAACTTCAAAAAATGTGAATAGCACAGAAATTCTTGATCAAGATACAAGGTTTCATATTTGAATACAATGTTCCCTTTTGCACCCACGTTATTTTAAGTGAGGATATGAATGATACTTCACATCAAACCTCTCCATCCTTGAAGTTCACTATCAGGAGAAAATGCAAATACTGATTTAGCCCTTTCCTGAATCAGAGAAGTAGCAATTCTGGAAAGAGAAAGCTTTAAAACAGACTGGTGAAATCACACTACTTTTATTATTTTTAATTTTTTTTAATTTTATTTTTGTTTAAAATATTACAGATGTCCCTTTTTCTCCCCAGTTCCACTCCGTTCCTTCCCCCTCCCCAGTCCCTCTCCCCCTCATAGTCCGTGTCCTTGGGTTGTGCCTATATGCATATAAATTCTTTGGTTACCCTTTCCCCCTCCACCCACCTGCCCTCCTCCATCCCTCTGACATTCATCAGTCTCATCTATGCTCCCATGTCATTGAACCTATTCTGTTCATCAGTTTATTAAGTTCTTTAGAATCGCACTACTTTTAGAAGTTATTCTTCCTGCCTTAGAATTGAGACTGGGAGAGGATGAGACGTGGCTTATCAGCACATTTCAAGTAAGAACTTGGGGGGGAGGAGTGCTACTCATCATGACGCCTCCCGTTCATGGAGCCTACCTTGGTAAATCATCTCATCTTCCTCGGTCACGTAGGCATTGGCCCCCCAAATCACCATCTTGTGGATGTAGGATGGGTATTTTGCAGCAGCAATGAGGGCTGTTATACCACCATCACTCCACCCCAGCAGAGAGACCTTCTTAAACTTCAGCGTCTGTGATAAACACAGCAAACAGCACAGCACAGGTCATTGCTCCTCTCTGTTCAAAAACCCAATAATCAACAATTAACAGTATCGATACAGCTGTGGGGTTTGGAGTGTCAACTGGTAATTAATGAAAAATCCTAGAGTCCAACATTTGGTGACATAAATGTTTTCTCTCAAGTAGTTTGATGAAATATAATTGTCATAAAAACTAATTCCATAGTATTATTTTTAATTTTGAAGGAACTACTTCTGGTTGGATAAAACCTCAAGCACCTAGAAACAATGGAGATCAGCTGTACTTGGACAGGGCCAATAATGTGTGTGCTCGTGGACACCAGAGCAGACGCTGAGATCATCTGTGCAGACTAGAAGGGGACTGGGTGAGGTGACACCATCCCACCTGGTAAAGCCCCAACTGCAACACAGTGAAGAAGCAGTTGGAGGGCGTCTGGAGAGAATGGGGTAATGGGGAGCCAATCAGGCTCCAAAAGTGTGTGTCACAAGGACAGTGAACAAAGATTACACCTGAGATGCTGTCTAGAAGTAAAAATGGAATAATTGGGGAAATTTAAGTTAAGGAATTAATAAATACCAGTTCAGGGTAGTTTCTGATAAACTGAGATAACTACTATGGGTAACAACTTGGTACTACCGTGTAGAACGGACATGTGCATCTTCTGTAACCCAGAAAGCCTTCTCCTAAACATGTATGAAACTCTTACGCATGTGCACCAGGAGGCAGGTCCTGGATGTCACAGCAGCATTGTTATAATAGCAAAAAGCCCGAGAACTAAAATGTCCACAGACAACAAATGTTCACTGCACTGCTGTTTATAATCACCAAAAAAGAGCAACTTAAAAAAATTAAGTTATCTACCACTAGAAGAGAGGTGAAATAAGAAATAGCACCTCCATACAATGAAATACTATACGCCTATATACCACTGCTGAAGCTCAGCCCAGCAGTGTGGCTCAGTTTGGAGTATCAAACTGTTCGATGAAATAGTGAGTTGGAAAAACAGTAGGTACAGTCTAATGCCACTAACATAAAACTGTCTACTTATATATGTAATGAGACTGGCCAGAAGGGCAGAGGCTCAAAGGCTTGGTAGTGGTGTCTCTACATAGTTGGATTGTGGGATATTTCTACTTTCTTCTTTATACCTATTTGAACTTTTAAAATTTCCTGGAGGAATCGAATGGTATTGCCCTTGTAGAAATAAAAACAAAAAAAAATAAATGAAGACAAGCCCTGCCATCCTCCCTCCCTTGGGGTCCTCCCTAAGAGACGCACCTTCATCAAATCAACAGCATCTTTTGCATCCCTTTCAAAAAAGTCCCCCGGGAAATCTCGATCTGGGGGTCTGGAACGTCCATAACCTCGAGGATCCCACGCAACCACTGTGAAGAGCTTCTTATTTAGGTTTTTAATCTGAGGTCCAAAATCAGTCTCTCCACTTCCTAAAAATAGCCACTTGATTAATTCAGGTGAATGCTTTCATTGTTTCAAACCCATTACCGTAACAAAAGAAATAATTCCAATCTTAAAGTAACTAGTTTCTACTCAGCAAAGGCACCTGCTTGCGGGACAGGATCCGTTCACCAGAGGCTGACTTCCTTTCCCCAGGAGCTCAGGCCTGCCTCTTACCTCTCCCTAGGGGCTACTTTGAGAAAGACAGAGGCCCTTCATTCGGCTGTCACTCAGGTGCTGCACTTCTGATACCTCTTCAGTGTAATCTTCGCTTAAAACATAAATCATGAAACTACACACAACAGACTTGTTGATATTATATGCTTCTGAGTTATTCTTTTCTTTTTTTAAAAAAATGACGATTACAAGTGAGAGAGATTCCGATATCTGTAGACAAACTTATGATTTATTTGATCTACCCACGTTACTCACAGTAGAATTCTAAAATCTCAAACGTTGTTTTACTAAGCTAATGTGAATAGCCCTGAAGGTTTTTGGGGTTATAACTAGAAACCAGAAAATTAAACACAGAAATGATGGGGGAGGGCAGGGTGTGAAAGAAACAAATCAAATTATTTTATTAAAAGTCAGTGGAGGACTTGACTGGCAGTTGCGTGTCCAGGGCCAAACCAGTACTGTATTTTATTTACTTATTAAATATATCTTTATTGACTTCAGAGAGAGGAAGGGAGAGAGGGAGAAAGAGAGAGAAACATCGATGATGAGAGTCATTAACCAGCTGCCTCCTGCATGTCCCCGACTGGGGATGGAGCCTGCAACGCAGGCATGTGCCCTGACTGGGAATCGAACCGTGACCTCCTGGTTCATAGGTCAATGTTCAACCACTGAGCCACACCCAGCCAGGCCGCACTGTATTTTTAAGGTCTGCTTGGTTTCTGAGGACTCATAGCTCAGGCCATAAATAGATTCTGAACACCTTGCTTGATAAACTAGTTGTATTAGAAAATGTCTTTCAAGATGGTGCAAGGTCACCTGACGTTATCCTTGTTCCTGACAAGACATACCTTTCTCCACTTCAGGTAAATCATCCAGAAAACCCGAGCTAAGAACATAAATGGATTTCAGGCTTCAGCCTACCACTCTGAAAGGCAAAGCTTCTCTACAGTCCCTGTGCTGGAGGGGCTGGAGGCCGAAGGAAGGAAAGGGAGCAGTCTATCTCAAGACGAGTTTCAGAAGTAATAGCACTGCTTTCTGGCACACAGCTGTACATCTGAAGAGCAGTGCAAAGAATACTAAACTTAATTCTTGCAGAACAGTTACCAGCATGCGACAGCTGAGAAGGAAACACATCCACACTGGCTGCCTGTGGAGAGGGGAACTGGGAGCTGGGTGGGCCCAATAGGGGATCTTGAGAGAGAATCTCATTGTTTGATTTTTAAATCAGGTTAATGCTTTACATAAACAAAAATTAAATTGTCAGAAGATTTTTATACCTGGATAATGATTGTAATACTGCAATAATGAAAATCTAAGCTGACAAATTATTCATTACTTTTATAGGTAACTTGGATCAAATCAGCCATTGGAGTAAATGTCCTCCTTCATTACAACAGCTTAAGGGAAAAAAATATACTAAATACTGTCTAAACAAGGGTGCCTCGATAGCCACAATGTTACCACAATCAGCTGAGGGCCAATCAGGTGGAGCCATCAACTGAAAAACTTTAGGAGAAAGAAGCAAATCATAAGGAAATAAGTATAAAGTGGAATTATTAAACTAAACAAAGCAACCCAGTACCAAGACCCTTAAAACCAAATCTGAGATGTCCTGAGATCACTAGAAAACTTCCCCCTGAACTTTCTACATTGAAACCACTTATCCTGAAAATAAGACTGAGATTCGGCTGGCTTTACAATACTCCATTCACATTGATCTAATTTTGATTTTTAAAAAGCCTTTAAGCTCAGTTTTGTTCTTAGCTCGTATTTTAATTGAACACAGTCAAGCATCTTTCAGCACTAAAAGTCTCCCATCCTGGAAAACCCTGAATCCCAGGCAACCTGGGATGGTTTGTCACTCCGTCATCTTTCTATACCTTTGTCCCACAGCCTTTCCCTGACCTGTCAGCCTCCCAAACTGTAGACAACTAACCACACAGTGTACTTGCAGGGAAAACACAGGCATTTAAAGGAATGAAAAATACATACAGCAGAAAGTTATCTTTCTAAATCACCTAGCACTGATTGTAGCAAATATTACTTAAAAGTATTTCTGCAAAGCACTAAAACAATCAATCAGCATTTGGCCACTACTCTTGTGAAAGCCTCGTAGATCCCACTGCATGCGAAAGCAGTCCAGGAAAACCGTGCAGACCCAGCATTCCAGGAAGCAGCAGGACGGCGTGCTCGCCCTCTCCGGTCCGCAGGTAATGCAGGTGGACACCGTTCACAGCCACTTTGGCGGAGGTTACCGAGGTGCTAGAACAGAGAAGCCCCACCCCAAAGGAAAATTATTGTTGGTAGTGCTGATCTAATAACACAAAACTGCCCTTTAGTGCAGGAGCCAGCTCCAGTGCCCTCCGCAGGCTTCTCAAGGGTTAAGGATAGGGTTAAACTACTTTGATTTGTGCTTCAGTTTTCCAAACCTAAAAAAGGACATCTTCCTTACTAGACTGCAAATCTGAACTGTTTTCATGTTTGAATATCCTAAGTCACCAACTCAGGGCGTACTCTACGAAAGTACCAAGAGGCTTGCTCAAATCAGCAGCCATACAGGCCCATGGGTGCATGCCCTAGGAGCTGGAAGCCAGTGGTACCAGTGTGCAGGCTGACGTGGGGGCTCCAAACAATGGAACTGAGGGTGAGCATCCACAGAACAGGCCTGGGCCATCATCAGAAACTTAGTGGGTCCAGAGGAGCGACCTTGACCTGCAGCTGCCTCATCAGCATTCCCCAGGATGAGACTGGTCTCCGGGGTCCACAGGGAAGGCCTCGATCTCAAGGCTGTCCTTCAGGCATATGATCTCTCATGTTCTCTAGCCAGTTGCAGTAGGGCTCGAGTTAGGAATGCGTATCTGCACTGGTATGGCCAGACTGCTGTTTAAGATGCTGAAATACTTATATTGTTTGTTAAGTAGCTGGGTCCTGCCCTTGCTGGTGTGGCTCAGTTGGTTGGATGTTGTCCTGTGCACCAAAGTCACTGGTACAATTCCTAGCTGGGTCCATAAGCTCTCATCTCAAGGGCCCTCCCCCTGCTGCCAACCCTCCTTGGCCCAAGACCTCTCATGATGCAGAACCTAAGTGCACATGCATGGCACAGAGAGGGGTCTTAGGCTAGAGCTACTGCCAGGGTCTGCTCTGACTGATGCGTGTGCCATACCGGGTGCCCTGTTCTGATTACTCTTTTCAGCTGCTCTCCCAGACACTCTGGGCACCTGGGCTGCGATACACAAGGCCCCTGCATCAGGTTCCAGCAGCCTCCCCACCAATTTCCCGGATGGCTGGGTGACTTTAGGAAGGGATATTATGGCATGCCAGGACAGATGCTGGAACAAATATACTGAACAAAGGTACATCAAGTCTTAACACGCAACTTCTGGAGAACATGACAGAATGGGTTGGTATTAAGGCCTGACGTAACATAAGCTCATTACCTACAGAATATTAGGGGGGAGCAGTAATAAAACCATGGGCAGGGTGGTGTCACAGTGACACTGCCCTTACCCATTATCAACGTCCTGCTCCTAATTCACTTCTGTCAAGACGGCTCTAGGGTCAAGATAAAGCAAATAATGCTCTACTAATGTTCACTTCAGCAAACATTTGTTTATGGACACATTCGCTTTCCTCAGCATCTACTAGAGGAAAGATGAAGATAGATTCACGTGCAGACCCTCAGGGAGGGGTAGGTTGGGACTGAGGGAAGAGCTGCAGGCACAGGTTATCAGCATTGCCCGTGTTCACCTCACAGGCATGCGGCAGCTCCCCAGAGATGGCTGGCTGTGCATAGCTCACTATAGTCACGTCGTGTACTTTTCTTACTCCTGTGCCCTAAAGAATTTTGAGGGGTTCCCTTCCTTGCTTGGAAAAGTAATTTTGTACAGTGAAGATGTTATGCTCAATCAGAAGAGCCCCCACCCACCTTTGTCAATGTCCAAGCCAGTGGTTTTCACTAGCGGGTGTTGCTGTCTGTCTGTGCCTCTCCAGGGACCTGGGAGCCGGCCCTAGGGCAGGGGCTCAAACAGGCTTCCTTCCCTTCAGCTTTCATCTCTGTTAATAAAAACCCTCTCCTTTCCCTCTGTACTTTGCTGTAGCTGTTTTGATTCCCCACTCCAAATTTTCCTGTCATTATTATCCCTACCCCATATTCTTTTGGTTGCTAATAATACAGAAATAAAGCCAGGTAGTCTACAATGGGGCACTTTGGCACGTGACGTCTGAGACTACCAGGGCAGAGGCTCTGAAGGCAGCTTTAGAGGAGACAGAGATCACAGCAGGGCTGGGCAGAGGTTATTTGTTGAAGAGCGAGACAGCAGCATCTGAGATGAACTTCCAAGAATATGGCGGATGGGTGATTCTAACGGCGGAGGGAGTGTGGCCGCAGGCACAAGAGCAAGGACACACATGGGGACGGGCAGAGCTCAGCCTGGCAGGAGTGTGGGGAAAGAGGGAGCACATGGGCGGCTGAGCAGTGGCGGGGTCTGCAGCTCAGGGGAAAGGAATGGCCTAGTGCCCTGTCATCAGCATCCTCTATGTGATCCCAGCAGAGGCACCTCTATTGTCACCAATCTCATCTGCGGAAACACGACAGAGGACTGCCTATGAACAAAAGTAAATTAAATGCAAATCAATTTCAAACATAAGAAAAACTGTTTTATTTTAAAAAATAATCGTTACTGAGGGGCTTAAGTCCGTTTCTCTCCAGCTTGCCAAGGGGCCTAGGTGGCGGGCAGTCACACCGAAGGAAAGAGTGCTGCAGAGACCAGGCCTTGCAGGGCCCTGACATGTGCTTATTACTTGAACTATACTCAAGATACCAAGTTTCCCAAACTCTCAGGCAGGAAAAAGATAGAAACTTCAGAAAATTTAAAGAACAAAAAAACCCCTTTCCTCGGGCAGTCGTTTTGTCTTTCTCTACTATCTCCCCTAACAACCGCGTCTCTAACCCTGCGTTCCTAAGCAGGCGTGCTCATCAGAGCTGCCCCAGGAGAGTAAAACCACCCCTGCCGAGGACAAGGCTGGGAGAACCCCATTCCATAACTGGGGCAGAACCGGGCGTGTGCTCTCTGAACGGCACACCCTGCTGTACTACTCATTCACTCACTCATCCATTCATTTCGTGAACACCTGCTTTGCCTGGGCATTCCATGTGGCTTGGAGGCTGGCAGGGAAGACAGATGACGAAACCTGCAACCAGCAGGTACTATGCAGTTTGCCAAGTATTATGACAGAACAGTAGGATACAGGAGACCCTGGGGCTGCAGGTGGCAGACATGAATCCCCCATGTCTTCACCAACATCCACACAGCTGCCCACTTAGCTCCTTTCTATCAGAGCACTTCCTGTCTCCCACTATGTCAGTGGAGCTCAAACTTAGATCTGAATCATCTGGCAAAACATTTTTTAAATGCCTAATAAATTTTAATTATGCCTGGCCAGCATGGCTCAGCGGCTGAGCATCCGCCTGGGACCTAGGAGACTGCGGTTTGATTCTTGGTCAGGACACATGCCCAAGTTGAGGGCTCGATCCCTGGTAGCAGGTGTGCAGGAGTCTCTCTCCCCCCCTCTCTCTTCCTCTCTGAAATCAATAAAGATATATTTTTTAAAAATTTAATTATGCTGGGCTGGGCGTGGCTCAGCGGTTGAGCGTCGACCTGGGATCCAGGCGATCGGGGTTTGATTCCCCGTCAGGGTACATGTCCTGGTTGCGGGCTCAATCAATGACTCTCTCATCATTTATGTTTCTATCTCTTTCTCCCTCTTTTTTCCTCTCTCTGAAATCAATAAAGATATATTAAAAAAATAAAATAAAAATTTAATTATTATTACAACTGCATTTTTTAGTTTTTTCCTTTCCTTTTCTGGCAAACTTAAATCTCTGGATGCCCAGGCGGCACCAAATCAACATCTCTGGGGTGGGACCCAGGTACCTGTATTTTTTTAAATCCCTAAGAGATTCTAATAGGTAGCCCAGGTTATGAACTACTGTACTGAGTTGATGTCTTGGAGGAGAAAAAATCCTGTCTCCCTTTTAAAAACAGCCTGTAGAAAGGCATGCCCAGCTACAAGAGCCCATTTTTACCTTGTATTTGTCCTTGGCTCCTTTTTTCCTGTGAGGCTGGACAATTTTGTGAAAGGCAAGGAAGTGAGGAGCAATACAATGGCAATCAGTTCCTGATTGAGGGCGGAGCCACTCCCCTCAAAGAGCAAGAGTCGACTGTGGGAGAGGTAAGAATGTAAGAGTTTGGGGCAAATGATTAAAACTAACATTTAGTATAATTACTAAACTAAATAATGGACTCTGGTAAGAGCTTATCTGGTCTCTTGTTTCGCTACATGATGCACATTAATTAAATGTAACCACATTTTACCATGGAGGAAGCTGAGGGTTAGGTTTAGGGACTTTGCCCCAGTCACCCCGCTGGGAAGTTAATAAGTCAAGATGAGCACCTGACTGCTGACACCTGAGCCTTTGGCACTTTTTACACTTGGCTTAGAAATAAAAATGGGGTCTATTAATAGGATACATCCTCACTTTGAAAGTCCTACATATTCTCTATATCTTGTATTTTTAGCCATTTCTTTTGTATATATTTTTTCCAAAGTAACCACTGGCTATAAAAACCAAGCTACCGGTTAGGGCATGGATTTACATGAAATTTGATGACATATTTTCACATATTTTATACATTGTATTATTATTTAGATATTCATATATGTATCATTACTAATTTTTCCTACTAGTTACTTAATTCTTATGTTCCAGACCTTTTACATTCACTTTCTCGAATCCTCAGAACAATTCTGCAAGGCATGCAGCTCAGAGAGGTTAAATAACCTGCTCACATTAAGCAGCTAGGAAGTGCCAATGAAGCCATCTGAACACCAGAGGCCTCGCTTTTTCTGTAACCTCGTGGGTTCCCAACAGGGCTCGGGCACTGGGGCCACACTCACCCTGAGGGTCAGAAAGAAGGTGCCAAGGGAAGGAGAATCTCTGATTCTCCCACAGAACATCCTGAGGATGAACTCGAAAAAAATTTTATATCAGGCAGGTAGTTAGATTCTATAAATTACTAATATCGTGATTGTACGTAACACAATTCTAGGTAGAAAGGGTTTTTTTTACCTGATCCTGGTACAAACCACTTTATAGATTACGAAATAAAAGTCAGTGTTCCCAATAACAGACTTACAAACAAGGTTTTGGAACACAACTCAACTGTAGGCCAGGCACTGGCTTAAACTGGGCTGCAGCTTGTCCCAGGAGTAACCA